TTATCCAAATAAATTTATGTGGATAAATTATCTAGATAATTATTCTTCCATCTTTTATTTTATCTAGATAAATGGAGAATATTATTTTACAAACTTAACTAAGATAAAATCACCATTATCTAGATAATTCATCCAGATAATTTAATTTATTCAGCGGGTTTTATTTATTACTAGCTCTCCGAACGTCGCTGGGAGAGCCCCCAGATACTCCTCATTATATGTATTTGATTTTATAAAGTTCTTTGTTCCATATCCGTGCAGTGATGTATTATATTATAGCTTTCGAAATAAAAGTTGTGAAAAACAGTTTTTCCGCGTACATTTTACGTGCGTACTTTGAAGTTATAACTTATAAGCAAAATTAACAATCGATTTAAGGATGTTGCATTTTTGAAGCAAACTAATTACCACGAGTTAGATTATCATAGAAAAATACCGACGTTTGTAGTTCTCACTCATTTTTTTTTTGACCATTTTATAATTTGGGACTGTAAGGGTTAACATTTTATCATGGAGTTTGGTTCTTATTGGATTCCTAGTCGTTCACAATACTCCAAAAATGGTTAAAAAAAAAAACAAAAAAAATATTACTTGAATAAACGAAACCACAGCGTTGTTTCATACATTAGGATTAAGAATAGACAATAGTGTATAGAATAGTAGTGAGGAAAATGGTCGCAATTTGTAGTAGGTATAATTTAGAAAGGTACATGGGTACAATAATACGAGTATTCCTATGCTTTTTATTGAAGTGGATACCAACTACACCATTACCTACGAGTAGGTCGTTGTACTTGCCTAGCATACATAGCTTGACATTTAATTTTTTAAGTACATCGAATGTTGAATTCACAACACCACATACACACATATAGATCATAAATGTAATTATAGTATGACTTTATCATGTGACAATTCATTTTTTTCACATTTCCGCCAGGTGAGTAATAAACTGAAATAAATGAAAGTGCTGCAAATTATAATTTCATTTAGATTTATCATAATATAAATGTACACAAAACTATTATATAATCGTATTAAATGCTTACAACGTAAGCATATTTAAATTCAATAAATGAAAAGTATCTTTAGTAAAAACGTCATAGGCATTTTGAAGTAGTCAAGACGTATAGAGTTTAAGTAAACAAAAATCGTAAACTACATGTCATTTCCGATTTGGCAAAATATTTTCAATTATCCGTCGTAATATAAATAATATAATTAATTGTTATCCCTCATTGTAGTTTTGGTATTTTTAGTAACATGCAAAAATAACCGATCCGAAAGCAGAAATCACATATCAACATTATTCTATTCGTTTATAAGAATGCTTCAGCAGAACCACCTTATTTAAAACAAATAATATTATTAAGTACACCCAGGATCATCGCATGTCTGTGATGGGATAAAGTACATTTTTACGACAGTGAAAGGATAATGAAACACTTCCGACCAACTAAACTATTTGTAAATGATTGTCAATTCACTTGTCGTAGAATAGTGGAGGTGAGAGCTTGGAATTTAAATGGGTACCACATTTATCAATAAAATTTGAAAAAATGGTTAGGTTACCAAGTTAAATCGTTTCTAATATGGAATCGTTGAATATAGCAGCTGATATACTCACACTTTTCTGCGTTTTTTATTTTATTTTAAACAACTAAATAAATGCTAATTACTTATACTGGGCTTGCATAAACAATCGTCAAACATTTAATATGAAACAATAATGTCAACTTGCTCCTTGAACTCGATTTATGGCTCGTAATTAGTCCATTCAATTATAGTGGATCAAAAATTAAACAATAGTTCATTTAGCCAATCATATTAAGTAAACATAACTACTTAAAAACCTATTTTAAACAAGAGTCCAGTGGAATTGACGATTAAATAAAACAAATAACCATTTGACATAATATTTGAATTTAGAACTAAATAATCCATTTTTCTATTAAACTAAATGTAAAAAAAAAATAGAGGGATTAAAAAATAAATATTAAGTTTGCAATCAATTCTAAATATGGTCCCATTATATTTTTACATTTAATTTGAATATTGAAAATAAACAAAATATTGGCAAATTAGCTAGACTAGTTACATAATGAATTTAATATACCATAGGAGTCTGTTAATTGTTTGGTTAAAATGCATAAACATTTGACACAACTATTAGGAAAAATATTTATAGGTTTCAAATAAAGTAAATTAAACACTATGGGTACTAATACTATATTATTCAATCCAAAAATCCAAGTCTCCCATCGTATACTTGCACATGGACAGTTTCCGACAAAAACGTAAACAAAAATACGTTAACTCTCATTTCCGGCAAAATATATTGTTTTTGTGAAGGACGTTTATTCGTCAAATATTGTTTGGGAACCATGTAACAATATGTACAATTAATACAGCAATCATAAGTGCACATAGAAACAAGAAAATGTCCTAATCATTAGATACAAAAATATAATACACAATATTACACATCACAATCGACAGTAGTTCATTTTTATTAAAATTGTCAAATTACAATTTTTTAGGTAACACTCCTTATTACATAATTACACATAAGACTTATGATTTCCTAAAACGGTATTACAAATTAATAAAACGTTTAAAACAACATAGAAAAAGAAAAGAAATTAGTTTGAAAAAAAATGAGTAATCACATAGTACAATTATTAAAATATTTAGTATAATCAAAATCCATAGTATAACACAACACGTACAACTACAGTCGAGTGGTGTATTACAGTCGAAGCGTCGAATTATGTCTATTATTAGGTTATTTATTACCCGCGTAAATCATTATGACTGATGACGAAGGTGTCAGGTAATTATCAAATTAATATAGCAAATAATCGAGTCTCATAAAATACCTAGTATGCCATAATATCGGACCGTGGTAGCATTCGTGTTTTATGTGTGGGATAAAATAATACCATGCACAGATTAAAATGTCTATAATAATATAGTATGTCAATAAAAATTGAGGCACTTAAATGTAGAATAATTAAGTAATAAGGTACTAATAATCAACAATTGACGATAGATCACGTTTTCGACGATGTGGGTACACGCACAAGACGATTTGGCCCATTTGGCTCTCGTATTTGGCTCCAATCGTACAAATTCGTCAATTCCCCAACTCCTCCCGTTTTTTACGACACAAATTCCTCACCACGCCATACTGACTTAGGGTTGCCTAGGAAGACGAGTGTTTTTTTTTAGTGTGTTGGTGTTTTTATTCATTTTATAAGCCAATATACATAATTATAAAAATCATACAAAGGTATTACACATCATAAATTGAAATTGCGTTGCGATTCAGCAGCGTGTTCAGAGAGTTTGATAAATCTGAATCGGTGGCAATACGTATGCTATCATAATATCTAAAATTATAACTTTATAGTGTGGTTGCTTGTGACTACGTTAAAACTTCAAACTGGTTATTGCTACCGAACACACTAATGTTCTCACCTACTTGTATTAGTACAATTGAAAACGTACTTAAATTCATGGCTAAATATTGTATTTGTTCTTAAAAACCTTTTCTTGAAAGTATTTAAAATACTTTTCAAAACTAATATATTTAATAATTTCTCTATATATTTAATTAAAACTATAAGTGTTTTTTACAACACTGAAAACTCGTCATATTTTTAGAATAATGAAACTAGTGTACTAGCGTACGATTACCTAACCTAACCAACCCATCATTTCTTAGATTTATATGTGGATAGAAAAATAGGATCTTATGGTTTGCACATCATTAATTCTCTAGATATTGTACGTATTGACAGGTAGTACAGCCAGATGATAATATATTATATAATATTAATTATTATATTAGATTCTACAAAAAATTAGATTTAAAATTATTATGCAGCCGAGTCTCAATAACTAAAATTTGTTTCTAGTCCCGTGAAGTGTTTTTTTAAGTTGTGTTTATGGTAAATAACTCGAAAATACATAGGTTGAATTTATATATATCCACCTCTCCCCCCCCCCTTGAGTTATCGAGGCTCGACTGTATTTGTGAATTAAAATTAATATAAATTTAATAATTAATCTATTTCGTAAGTGTATTATGCATGCAAATATAATGACCGATTTACAATTCTAGTAAAACTTGGATAATTACGTTTTCTTTTAATACATTTTCCATTTTGTATGGCAATAGTGATATGCAAACTTATTATGCACAGAATTATTGTATTTTTTTCTTATAATATTAAATGTTTGTTTTCTATATTTGCAATTTAAATTAATGTTATAAAATAATATGTGCCTATTCGAACTTTATACATACGATGCAATTACTCTCGTAATTAATCATAAGTAAATGTATTAATAAGGTTAAAACGATTCTTTCGATTGATCTCGTAGATCTCTAATCTCTGAATAATCTCTATTACGTGTACAATTTGTTTATAAACTGTACACACACGAAAGTCATTTTATAATAAAGTCTCTAAAAAATAAAGGCTTACCTACTATATATAACCTACGCTATACCTACGTCCAAAAATGCCATAACAATATAATATACCTACCCAACATTAATGAAATATGATAAGACACCGCAAGTCTTCAATTTCGAGCGCACGGAATTCAACTCGATCATTATTTGCAAGGTGTTTTCGTTGGTTATTGTAATTTTTAATTTTTAATCTATCAGATCAGACACGCCGTGTCCGCGAACCGAACTGCACACACGTGCACATATCGGACTATCGCACGTAAGTAGTATAATATTGGGCGCGTAAAAACAAAAACAAAAAAAAAAAACACGTAAGTTTCGAGGCCACAGGCGGCGGCAGTTGAACAATACGAAAATTACCGAGAACGTTCTTCGCCGAATCGCGCGGCGGCGACGATACCTTCTTCCATAACTACTCACTATTACCTATACCACGGTTATTATTATCATCATAATTATTGTAGTATTATTTTCCCTCTTTCGGCGGAGTGCGTCGCTTAAAGAGTACTGTCCGGCCGAAGAACGGGCGCAGACACTGCTCGAGTTTCGTCGGCAGCACACCGCGAGTCCGTTTCGCCGTAAAATATTATATTTTATTAATTTATACCGCACAACAGTTCGCGTTCGAAATACCGTATATAATCCGCACGACGTGATATCTCGTCGCAGTGCCTTTTATCGATATTCGTTTGACGAGTTGCTGCTTCTGCCGTCGACGATTTTCAATTTATTAGTGCGCTCGCATTATATAGTATACGGCACACACGCATATAATAATAATAATAAAATTGTATTGCGGTGTACCTACCACGTTTTACAAGATATAGTTCGGTTTTCTTCACAGTCCAATACATATAATATAAGACGCCGACTAATTATTTATATATACGTACGCGATAAAATTTCAATCGGCTTTACCTGATTTTGTTGTCACCGCATACGACGACCGCCACACTTGTCGTACTGATATTATAATAACACTACATGATGGACGATCCTTGGTACAAATCGGTAAGTCATTCGTTTTCCGTGACCATAATATTATGTCATCCGGAAATAATCGATTCGAATTTGCGACAAGCGATACCAATATAACGGCGAGGGTTTTAAGTTTGAAAACAAATAATTTTGAAAAACCAGGAACATAATATTATATCATAAAAATGCTCAACTCGCCGTAATAAAATACCTATATTATATAGTGTAGTAGTGCCTATAAGTACAACCAATGCATTCAGAGACAATAAGCGTATTTGCTAAATTTGTTATTTAAATCGTTTTGAAATTCTTACAAATGCGGAACTTCAAGTTCAAGGAATATTGTTGCCTGTTAAATAATAGAGAAAACTCTTAAACATTTTTAACAATTTACTTTTATGATCTACGACGAATGCAAATTTTTCAGGAATTTGTCGTTTGCGTATGATTAATCCTCCCAGGTAAAACATTTGGTTGGTGGTCTGCACATCGTTTATTTTATCAGTATGAAAGGTAGTACCTATGCCTAAATGACCGGATAACACACCGAAAACATAGGTAGTAATACAAAATGTCATTAATAAAGAAGAATTAGATTCAAAACAATTATATTGAAAATATAATTTTGTAATATTTTGTTATGAATGTAAATAATGATTTATTTGCACATCTAATCAAACTAAGATGATTATTTATTTTATTTTAATAATTTTTCAATTTTTTTTATTATAATTAGTGAAGAGCTAGGCTGCCCTTAAATTTGATGTCATAAAAATATTATGACGATAAGAAAATTATGAACACATCATACAAGATTACAATAATTGTAATATAGATTTAATTTAAGTCACTGTCTAACAAACTTAACTGAAATATTATGTAAATTAATTTTTTTACATTTTTTTGATCAAGAAATAACATTTATTGATGTAATTAAAATGAAAAATTAACCATAATAGTCCGCTCGTTTATAAAAATGAAAATAAATTCCAATTTACTGTGGTTTAAATAATTTTAAACATTTATATATATTATATTCAAAGTTCTTTGTCTCTTCAACCTATGAACCGCATGTTGTATTTATTATTTTTTATTTTATCTCATGCACCATTTTCAATTAGTGTTCCACATATTTATAGATTGTGCAATAAAAAAACTACAAATTCAAATTACAAAAAAAAAAATCACGTATTTTAAATGTATTAATGAAGTCGTTTATTATGCGGTTGAATATTTAATACAGGGTTGCATACAAAATTGATTAATTCAATGGTTCTCAAAAATGTAACTGACCAATTATGGGCACTAAATTATATTAAATGAACAATTACCTCACTTTTGACCGCTTGCAATTTTTTATGCAGTCCGGTGTATAACATGCTATTTATATTGTATGTTTTAATTTCTATTAGTAAAATATTACTTTCCAACACCCAACACTTGAGTTTCAAAATTGATGCATTTTTTTTTAAATTTATATAATTTTGATTGTTGTTAAAAAGAAAAAAAAATAATATTATGTTCATTAGGTACTCAAAAATATTTTTATTCATATGTACTGAAAATATTACTAAGTACTTTATTAAATTACTATTAATTAGAGCATTAGTATTTTTTATTTTCTATTTAAATACTTATTATGCACCTACATGTTACAATGTGTGCCTATAACATATTTTTTTTTTAATTCTCCATTTATAATATAGGTTATTTGTTTATAACGTATGATTTAAAATAAGATGGATGCCTATTGCCATCTATTATATTATTATGAGTATGGTAAATAATAATACACATCAATTAAGGGTATAGGTACTTACAAAATATTAATTTAATATATTCAAATTAATAAAATAAACTATTTTATTACATATTTAAATATTATATTATTTGGTAATTAAACAAAGTCTTTCTATTGGATGATTATTTTTTCAATAATATATATTACACAGCTTTAATTTATTTTTAATTGTTATGTTATTTTAATATTTTTCGACCTGTGTGGATTGGAGTAATATTATTTTGGTGTTTACAGTGTTCACACATAGCAAAAATTATGTTTAAAATATTTTCTTAACATGCAGCATACTAAAAATGACAGCAAATATCTCTTGACCTTAAACGCAGTGTGTTACACGATTCAACACTTTTTCTCACTGTACTAATACATTAGCACTTGTACTTATGATATTACTTGGAAGGGTCTGACTATTATTAAACTGTTTATTTATTTACCAGGAGAGTTTTCAATCCTTGTATCTTTTAAACAATAATTTTTAAAAAAAGTTATCACAAATTCAAACGATTAGCAGAAAGTGTAAGTAATACACAATAAACCTTTGATGAACGTTTGGATAACAATCGTATCTGAATTAAGTTAATACTCGGTCAATAATATTTTGTCCTGATATTTTATTTTCGATGCTTAAGTTTAGAAAACTAGTGTCTGACGTTTTAGGAAAAGTAAAAGTCGACGAGACGGCATAAAAAAAATGTACAATTGATACGATAATTCGTCGATGACTGCAGCAGCAGTTTTGTCGTTTGTTTCGCAAAATAATAATAATAATGAATAGGACTGTACGGCGCGGGGCACGGCGCGAGAACAATACATATGGCGCACGCGACATACTAAAAACTTTTTTATGTTACTTTGTTTGTGCCTATCGGAAATTGATAATGACGTGCAGTTACGCAACATAATTTAGGCCAAGCAACGATTACGTTACAATAATCTTTTAATCATTTTAATGATAATTATTACAATAATAATATAATCGCCAAATTCGATCTCAGTTCGCTTTCTGAAAGACTGCAGCAAATCATTATGCACGATAATGTGCTGTATTATTATTGTTTTGTCGCGTTCATTCACACAGGTAATACGGGAAACTCTGCAGCACTGTCTACGTTCGTAACCGATGGTCGGACACCGGGACACGACTCACTCGTCATAATAAAATAATATTTAAATAGGTACCTATAGCTATAGTGATAAAAAAAAGACCAGCCACATAACATACGCAAACCCGTAATATTATTAAGGAAACTGTCACTTTTCCCAAAACACGAATAGACTTTAAAATTATGACAAACAGCTGATTATTATTATGTATTACAATAAATATCATATTATTACAACACAGCGGGATATGATTTTTCTTCGAGCTTTTCGCTGTTGTCATACGTCCAGTGGCGTGAATTGGCCTTATTTTGTTGTGATGCGGAGGAACGATGTTTACATAACTTTCTTTTTTTAATACAATCTGCAGTCCTACTTGAGATCGAGACTAGTTTTAATCGAATTATAAAATAACATAAAATCACACAGAGATGTACGGGTTTTTTTTTAATTCATTGCACTTATTCATATATTATTTATACTTCTGTAATCTGTACTATGATAAAAATAAAGTATGCACTCTAATTTTATTTTTAAGAGTAACAATGCACTAATGCAGTTGATAAAAGTAAATAATAACAGAGCACGAACGAGAAAAAAGACTGATGTCTGATAAAGTGATTACCGATTTAAATTAATAATCATCGTTAATTAAAATTATTGTTGATTATACACTTGCAGCGAGTTGATTTCATTTTTTTTAGAAGGTGGTATATTAAATGTGTTCAAAATTGTAACTCCATTTAATGATGATAAATAATAATATTATGTTAATAATAAAATCATCACTATTCGTTAAAAGCATAGACAAATGGTATCATATTCATGGTACACACACTTTGACCATCGGCTATGGACCCTGAACTTCATGAGTAGCACTGATGCAAGCATAAACTAGTGCGTTTTAGATTTTTTGGCGGATCATAGATTTCACACCATCCGATATATTATTATTATATTAATATGCATGTACCACCAATTTTAGTCGAACTAATTTAAAGCACTGGACTTCGTATAGGCATATATGTTTAATAATTGAAAGGGTCCACATAAGAGCCGCCAGACCACTCCAATTTTCAAGACTTTTCAAAAAACATAGAAAAAAACCCGGAGCTATCTGGTTTTTCAACGGGAAAAAATACCAGATAGCTCCCAGTTACATTATATTCCATACGTTTGGTCGGATTTCAAATTCAATTAAAATCCTATTTTGACGAAAAATGGAGCTGTCTAGTTCTTGCACGAACCCCTTAACAATACGTATAATAAAATCGAAGTATCGAGTGAAGCGATCAATAATAATTCTCATCGGCGGTGACCCATGTAACCATAGACTCGTGTAAATATTTATTTATTACCATACATTTTTTTTTTTTTTAGTGTGCTCTTATGTCACACTTAAAACTTGAATGTAACCATGATTATTATTGCGTGTTAAGAACTTTATATAGCCCCCATAATATTACAGAAATATTATTCACATTTTTATAGTCTTCGGAGTTACATCGGAATAATAATAATATTGATATCATTTTTTTATTATAACAATATGTATAGCACATTTACCATGAACTGGGATATATAAAGACGCAAAAATTTGACTAATAAAACCATAAATGTACATATTAATATGTTGTAGCATAGGTACTGTAATTCTATTAAGTAGGTACACTATAATAAGCTTATTAAGTCAAGCATGGTTTTGTAATCGATTTTGATAGCGTTAAATGCCCACAATATAATAATATGTTTTTCCGCATTTTAGATTTAAAAGAACTTTTATGGTTTTACTACGATGTGAGATTTTTTTAGTGAACAGCAATTGTTGAATTCTTATACTAACTTTAAAATTTCGATACTGCAGACAAAAAGTGATTATATTTTTTTTTGATTCTTAGCAAGGCCGATAATTTATTGATTTTATAGCGTGTTCTTAAGTGTATCTAAAGGCGCTTCTTTTTTTAATAGAAAAACGCTCTGACCATAAAATTCGGGGGAGGTTTCTGGTAAGAAATCGGATCTATAGTTGATAATTTTGTGAGGAAAAAATTGAAAAAACTCAGTAGGTACTTATTTTTTAAATAGTAGGGAAAAACTAATAAAATAATACAAAATTTGTTTTAAAAAATGTTATTATTATTATTAAAATCTAAAATTGTTTGGTAACCTTGATTTCCAAAATGTTAACAGTTTTCGCTCACCAACGTTTTTCATCGTATTCAATCATTTATCATTATATTCACCTAACCTATGATTTATCATTGAATTCAAATTTAGCACATCCTTCTCAGTGCCTACTAAATGCCGATGTTCACTCGGCATCTATACTATATAGTATATACCAGGCCAGTTACCTAATTGATGATCTTTTTATAGATTAATTTTAAATTGAAAATGTGTGTAATATAAATATAGTTGGGTCTTGTCAGTGGTCCATTTTTGATACTATTTGTTTGCAATAATTTTTTATGTTAGTACATTTTTAAAATAAGTTGTATACTTAATTTGTTTACCATACTTATCTACCGAATTTGAATGCAAATGACGTGAAAAGCATGTTAGACGCGTCAGATTGTAGTATGAATTTAATAAAAAATACTCATATCACGTGTTACAGTTGCCAAGTGCCCAAGTATCATAAATGATCACACGCTATAAAAGCAATAATACTAAACAACTCTGTCGTGTTATCTATGCTTTAGCAATTTACAAATATAGGAATTAAAGCAGTAAAGCGATAACAATCATCCAATTAGCTTTGTCACTAAATTTGTATAACGTTTGTGATTAACCAATAATAATAAAATATAAATACACTTAATTTAATTTCTAGCTGTATATTGTTGTTTTTGTATAATTATTATTTATTTTATCAATTTTTATTTTTTACACATCTTTTTATGGTTTTCGCATATTAAGCATCATAATACAATATTATAATTATAACAAGAGCTGCTTCAAAAATCGTAAAACTAAATGTTCTTTTGTAATATTCTAAATGATTTGTATTTGATGTCAAGTGGACAAAATAACAGTTATAAAAATGCTTTTGCGTGCGCTCTGCCAGAGATACAGATGATGATGTTTTTAAATAATTAATTGAATACAATTTCAACAGTATAGTAGCATATAAATGTTTATTTTGAGTGTGGGTGAGTAGCGTGAAGGGGCCCAAGACACAACACGAGATAGGGTACGTCAAATATGTTGTTTTTGACCTTACCTAACTTGCGAACTCCCTTAGAGAGGCTTTAAGTTCTATTATCTTTGACCCTAGATCTCGAAAATCGAACAATATCCTTGCAGATATAGTAGTGGAGTCGTGGAGGGCGATTGTAAGTTCGGAGAAACCTAGGGGAAAAAAAGTCCGAAAGATCTATTGTAAACTCGGACCCGGCCCGAATAAAAAAAATATGTTCAGATCTTCTTATAACAATAGAATTATTAACTATTTTATATTATTTTTGAAATACATTTACATTAACCAGAGAACGCAGCATTGTCCTCCAAAATTAATTTTTTGATTTAATTTTAAGTTTCATATTATTAAATGTATTTAAAATATTTTAGAACAGAATCAAATTATATAATATATTATCTACTAACAAACTAATAAAATAATGTTGTGCTTATTATAGTATTATATATATTTTTATCTGTGAAAATATTATTGTGTCGTGTTTACAATCAACATTTTTATTGCCTGAAATGTCCGGGCAGAGTTTACAATAAAAAAGGTAATCCCAGGCTCATACTACATTTGCCCGTTTTGGATGGTAAAGTTGTTTTTTTTGTAAAATGTGAATAACTAGGTTCGTGGTTATGATTATTAATTATTACTGACTAGTATCGACTTATATTTAAGCTATTGTTTTACAATTATATTATCTGATTTCACGGAATTATTATAGATTTACTATCTCAGCTATTACACCCATCTAGTTGATTTATGAGGTTGTTGTTTGAGCAATAGCCCCGCCAGTATGCTAATTAAGTTTCTAGGAATTCATGAATGGTAACAATTTCATACATTTTAAATATTACTCTCGGCTTAATGTGTGTATCAATTACTGGAAAATTGTTAATTAAAAGAACCACAGCCATTTTTAATAAATTAATGTCGGTATTCGATTTTTCTACAACTATTGGAAGTTTACAGATATATAGATAGAGTTCCGTTGCTCTTGCGAGTCTTACGACGCCTATCAACTGTGCGCATGTAATCAGTAATCACATTTTTATATTAGTTTTTACCATGATACTATATTCATACTTAACTTCACAATTCCATCATAAAAAACAAGCTGGTACTTAATGATTGTTGTGTCCTCGCTGAGTCCACCATTTTGTGTTTTTTTTTGTTCATTATTATTATATGGGTAATTCAAATCGAGAAAAAAAAACATAATATTCTGTACTGAACAATAATTATACGTCATTATTATCCTGCAGTACCTATATCTACCTATGTACGAATTCTTGCTGAAAAAAATATCTAGTTTTTATGTACCTATTTAATTATAACTCACAAGCGCAATAATGTATACACACTACAAAATACTCGAATAATTAATATTACCCATAGTTTATTATAATTTAAAATAAGTATTGTGATTAATATTATATGTATACGAAATATTAAACTAATATTCAAATAACAATAATTACGTAACTTTGTCATAAAAAAAGTACAGGATAAGTTAGGTACTGAATACAACTAGGAAAGATTAAAATTGCATAAAACAACTCTTATTTGATCATCCCACCTCAAAACCGCCATTTTATAGTACAATAATACTATATAATACGATGTCGATGGTTTATTACTTTGGTTTTAATCGTGTTTGCTTGGAAATCAAATGGTCAGATAAAATATTCATAGGCACATAGGTAGTGTGGTTATGTCGGGTCTAATACCTAGTTTTGATTTATATTATGTGTCCAACAGACGGATTCGTTGACGTGGGCGTTGACAAGGAAAAAGACCGATTCGGACGAACCGAGCAAAGAAAAACTCAATAGGGTGTTGACCTTCTTCGACTTGACCGCATTGGGCACTGGCTCCACATTGGGATGCGGTGTGTACGTGTTGGCTGGAGCAGTGGCCAAATCCATCGCTGGCCCAGCCGTAGTCCTGTCCTTCGCCATCGCCGCCGTCGTGTCTGCGTTTTCCGGTAAGGACGAGCTCGATTTCAGCTGTGGAATTAATATTTAAATCGGTCGGAGTCAGAATATCCTGATTTCGGATAATTTTACCTGGGGAATGCGAGGTTCATCCGTGATATTATAAACTTACCTCCCAGTATAATATCACATATACATTATACGCATAATATACCGGGAGGAGGGTACCACCTATATTATGTAGTAATGTTTCTAGGCATGTTGCTTGTTAGTTGTTACACCAGAATCGTGGAACAAATATCTGCCACCCATGTATATAATATGTTGATTGTAGGTATATTAATGACCAGGGTTGGAATATTTAGGTGTATGAATACTACAATAATGCATTATTCTTCTAAATTTAACTCAGAATAATAATTCTGCAGATACAATATGTGGACGTTTTCTATTGCTTAGATTCTATAGTTTTTTTTGCGTATTTGAGTAAAAATCTATGCAAGCAACATTACTCTTCTAAAGTAGAATTTCTTATAAATATTAAATAAAATAATTTTAAGCTTTGTTACCTACTCTTTATGTTAAGGAATTAAAATGTAATATTTTTGGTGAAAATGTAAAACAATCAAAAATACATTCATCCCTTAAGGTCAGAATTTAAAATTATAACTAGGTATAAAAATAGTAAAAACTAATTATTTTTTAAATTGGTTTTAATTGACTTAAAATTATTTTTTCAAATTTCATTTGTTATGTTGAGTATCTTAGGTTATGTTAAATGGATGACCTATTGTATTGTTATAATACCTCTGATTAGCAGTGCGATATAAACTGTCAAAGATTTCACATCACACCAGATTTATTTATAGGAGTTTTATATTGTTTTGCATTGCCCGTGATGCAAATTTGTCAAAAATAAAGTTAAACTTTATTTCTACTAAATATAATAGTAATATACTATTTAACCAATAGCAACCATTGAAATAAACAAAAATATTCGTGTGTGAGCTACCTATAGGGATTGAAAAAATAAACTATAATAACACTCTCCAAACCTCAAGAATCTATTGATATAAGTTATATAACATTTATTGAAAACGGTCCAGTAGTTTTTACTTTTTAAATTTCTTAATTTCAGAAAAAAATAAAGTAGCCAAATATAAAAATTATTATACCCGATTATTATATAAAACCAGCGGCAACAATTTATATCAAAACAAAACACTAATTTCTACTTAATATTATTATAATTTGTATTTTTCACTTGTTAGGATTGTTCTTCTTGAATATGGTGTTATTGTATGGCACCCTTTCCTTGCTAAAGACCAACTTCGCCTTGGACATGTTCAAACAGATTTTTTATCGTATGTCTCCTATATCCTAAGATCCCACTTACCAATCATGACTATTCACTCGTCCGTGACATCCAGTTGACAAGCAATCCGTTGTTTCTCTTTTAATTGGGTCTCTGGATGCTCCTGATATTCTTGGAAGAATCTATTTTAGAGTTCCATCAGACTCTACTCGCAACAAGTTTCCGTTCACTGTACCAAGCCACTCCACTTCCTAAGGCCATAATCACCCATCGGACCCATTACACCATATGCTCAGAAACTATAATCCCTGAATAACTTGTTTTTGTATTTTGTTTCTTATTTATTGTATTTAGTTATATTTAAATTGTGTTTACTATATTATTTCCTTTTTTTATTATTATTGTTATATTCTTTCATTAAGTTACTCTCATTTTAGTCGATTATGTCGTTCCCATTGTAAAAGCTTATTGGCGTTAATTTATAAAAAATAATAATATATTAAGACAAATAGCAACCATTTATAAGTAAATACAAATTTATAGAAAAATCTCATGGAAAAAAGAAATAGTTTTTCTCAAATGTCCAATCTTACTATAATTTTTCAAATTTGTCTTTCCTTAAAAACCTCAGACTGAGATTAAAAAAAACGCCAATATAATATTGACACGAATGTTTCCAGGACTATGTTATGCTGAGTTTGCTGGCCGAGTGCCCAAAGCTGGATCTGCGTATATCTACAGTTACGTGGCAGTTGGAGAGTTCACCGCGTTCGTCATTGGTTGGAATCTGCTCATCGAACATCTCATTGGTAATATCTATGGTCACTTTAATAGTTAAGCTGATGTCCTGCACTCACACTGCCGACCAACAGAGAGTAAAATAATAAAAAAATTAACGGCGACGACAATAATCTATTATTATTAAGAAGACGACACACTCCCGTGTGTTATTGTCTTCGTCTTACGAACGTACAACATTCGCGAATTGTATGTTAAAAATAATCCATTTTTCTCTGTTTTTAGTTGTGAAACCACCAATTTTATAAAAAAAAATACTAACTAAATAAATAGGTAAAAAATATCACTGGTTACTTACGGCTACAAGTGGTTACCTTCAAATTGTACTAAAGATCAATTCCATATAATTTAAAAATGACTGAGTAATATGGATTATAATGAGTGGAGAATGATCCATGTTGTATACGTATATAATAAGACGGAGATGAAACATTATGCTTGTCCTCTCGAGGGGATTGCAAACGGTCAGGTATTTTAGCAAGAATTTACTAATTTATTATCATTCGTACCGATGGACCATTAAAATTTTAAATACTGATAGGTAAAAGCGTTGTTTATCATATCTAATTGAAATCGATCAGGCCAATTTATTAAATTTGAAATTTCACAACACAAATCCGGTAATATAATATTTTGTTCAAATATTTAAAATGTTAATGATTTGAAATTTAAATTAAAAATATTATCAATAATTATGACCCGGTGTTATTAGGTCCACCGGAATGATTGACAGAAAGTACATTCTGGAAATGAAAATTATCAAGTATCAACACACACACTAACACATTTACAAGACCCACATGAACTCGCCTAGAAAAATGCGTATATTTAATTCCTTAAAAATTGTCTGTTTGCAACAAGACTGTGGATAGAACTATCTGCGGCTGTTGTTTGAGATTTACTTGATAACTAATATAAATTGTTGACACTTGGCACGGGGTGACGGTTATGCAACTCATACGACACCCGAGTGTGCGGCTCTCACAAAAAAATATTTTTGAACGTCCCACGATGGACAACAATATTTATAATATATAATGTCAAGATTCGTCGTCGTCGATGATGATATTATTATTATTATTATTATTATTATTATTACTCTCTTGGTCTTTCGGAGTGCGATTTGCAGGCGTTTTAATACCAACGCAATATTATTGTATCGGTTTTGGACCGCCTCGCAGCCCCGTTCGTTCGTTATCCGCTTTTATTTGTATATTTCAGGAACCGCTGCTGTGGCCAAGGCCATGAGCAATTACTGTGATTCTCTGCTGGGAAATCCACAGAGGAGATACATGACTGAATATTTCCCCATACACATCGGCTTCTTGGCCGATTATCCCGACCTTGCGTCATTCTTAGTGATCGTCATCATTTCGCGTAAGTGTAAACATCTTTGCATATAATATATACGATTCGGTAAGTGTTTGTATAATTACACAACGGTATTGTAAGAGTGTGTGATATTATGAAAGTGTTGAAAATAAATATTACGCAAAAAAAAAATGAAATGAGAACATATGTGGCTGTCGAAAGCAATTTCGTGGATTTAGACCAATAAGTATATTTCTAAAAGTCTAATCTCAATTTTTAAAAAATATTTGATTCCTTTGCTTCTTGTCTGTGTAGGTAGAAAATGAATTTTTTTAATAACACTTACGTAAAAGTGCATTTTGAAAAAAAAAATGAAAATTATTTGGTACTATACTAATATTAAACAATACAGTAAATAGAAAATCCATTTCCTCCCTAACCAAAAAAGAGATTTTTAGGAATTCAAATATGTTTTCAAAATTAAAATCGGGCTTTTGGTACTTAAATAATGATAATATTAATTAATTTATATTGTGTAATAAACTAATAACCATGGTTATGTATAACTTAAGACCCTATTTTTTTTTCAATTTAAATAATTGTCATAAATTGTCGTCTACAGCGATAAATTATTTTAAACACAAACATAATATTATCTGAAAAAAAAAGATATTAAATAATAAAATATACAATCAGGTTAGTTATATGTATTGATATACTTTCATCTTCTACGATTATTATCTTCATGTCAAGACCAATATTATTGTGTATATTATTATTATTATTATTATTATTATTATTATTACAGTATACTTTCTAATGACACATTCCTATTTACAAGAGTCTAAGTATTTTAAAAAGATTCAATACAAAATTTACATTTTTTATTTAGGTACAATTGATTGACTTTTCCGTTCGAAAATATCAATTACGAAATCCTTTTTTTACACGATGTATATAATATTATAGCTGGCTTAATCGACAAGTTTCCTACCGGTAAAAAGGTCGTTTCGGCGGAATCGATAGAACGGCCATTGCATTGTGTATAGTCTACGAAGGGAATGCGATTGGGGTGATAGTTTTTATTTGGGTAATAATGTTATACCTACGGTGTTCCTTTCGACTACGTGCTTACCACGACCATGTTTGCGTAGGCGCCATATGTGATAGTCAATAACCAATTAATTATTTCTCTGGGGCGAGAAGAGACCCGCTGGTTCTACAGATCTCATATCAATTGTATACAGTAGAACCGCATGAGGACGAATGAGAATTTAATCGAGTAAGTCTGTCGATTGAGGAGGAGTCGTGTAGGGGGTATATAGTTTTAATATTATGATGGAAACAACGCTCAAAATCAGTTAAAGAGTTTCGATCGTCTGCGACAATGAGATATTGACGCGTTTCTTATTTAGCGCAGCGGTCTCATTCGAACGCCATGTTATCAATTTATTGGTCTGCTGACGTGCGTCTGGATGATTATCGCGTGTACAATAACTATTTAAGCAATTAAATCGTCTTTAATTGAATGGCATGGATGTATAAATATGATGAGTTAAATGCCCGAATGTAATCTGTTCACATTCGACGGCAGTTAATAATAATTGTCTTAAATCGACAGTATAATAATTGGGAGATACCACTCGCATAGTTAAAAAAGTGAAAATATTTCGTGCGTAAGGCACTTTTATCGTAATAATAGATTAGTAAAAATGGTTTGAACAATTTATTAGAACAATGTTATGATGTGTACAGCTTATATTATGGCAGTAAATCAGCCATAACGAAGATAAACTATTAGCTAAAAAAATGTTTTGATTTGAGTGCTTAATAATATTATCTCACTTAAAATCAAAGATAAAAAAATATAATTTTGTAATTAAATACTGAAATGTATTGATTTAAAAAAAAATATAGTAATTTAGCTTTTAAATTTAAATAATAACATTTTTTTTTTTTTTTTAATTGATCCTGAGCCCGGCAACTGTGGCCATTAGCTATTAGTAGGTACTGTAGATTTTTGTATTGATGGTTTGTAGGTTTTTGGAACGGTAGGGGGAACACGTGTGTGTTTGTTTTGGCAGAATTTCGAATGGGGCACCCGTAGGTTTCTG